CAAGAACTGAACGGAAAATTAGTGACAACAGGTCTTATGCGAAAGATCCCAAACACACTCCCGCTGCCGTAAAGCACACCTGAATAGAAAAACACACAAACTCTATATCAGTCATGGATTGGCCTCTCCAGAGCCTGAACCTTAATATTACTGAAGCAGCGTGAGATCATCTTGACAGAAAACAGGAAAAAAAAAGGAAGCTTTGAACATCCTTCAAGAAGCCTGGAGAACTATTCCTGAAGACTACTTAAAAGATGGCTTGCCTAAGAGCATTCAGGCTGTGTGCAAGAATAAAGATGGGAATACCAAACATTGACTTTCAGGCTCATTAGATTTATACAACCTCAGTTTTTGCCTGTTATTATGTATTTGCACAAATGCATCTTTGGACCTATTTCACACTTTTCTAGCAAAATATAAACATGGGCGCCTGAAAACTTTCCTTTAGATCACTATAGCATAATTAACTGAATTACGATTACATTACCAGGCCTTTATGTCCTTCACACATTAAATAGTCAACACAAGGTCAGAAATCAACGCTTGAAGTTTAAACGCAGTTTTAGGTGAAAGTTAGAGATGTACAGGCTTGAGTTTGACATATCTGGATTCTTCAAACACGTGTTTTCATCAGGGAGCTGTCTGACTAGTCTTCACTCAGTAGCATGACAGCAGCCTACGATACAGGCAGAGACACAAGAACAAGCAGCCCTGCAACCACTTCTGTGGTCCCCACAGAGCCCTTATTTCAACATCATTGAGACAAACTGGGAATACATGAAAAGAAACCGGAAACAGGCAGCTGAACTCCACAGATTTACAGTGTTTCGAAGAGGACTGGAGCTCTTTTCACAACAGCAGCTCAAAAAACGAATTTGGAGGAAGCTTTGAGGAGGAAATGACCCTATTGTATTCTTCCAGCAAGAAAATACAGCAAATCCTGATGTACTAGAAAATGTACTAATGTACTCTACGAACTCTAAGAGCAAGGGCGACAGTGGGCATGCTTGCTGTGCTGTTAGTGTGTTTTTTGTTCACACACAGTTGTAGCAAGCGTGGGCAGATAATTAAATTTTCATCACACGGATAAGAGGTGCTTCTTAGCTATAAGTGATTGGTTTAAAATGCTTATGGAGACAATCGTCAGTAATTAATTAAACATAGTCAAATCACAGGCTTATAAACCTTGCCGCATGAAGGAGAAAGTTTTGTTGTTATCATTCTCAAGACAGAGGAAGGTTACCAAAGGAAGACATAGCTAATGAAAGCAGGAAGGCACAATGTGCTCCAAATGAAAGAACAGTGAGGAGGAGGAGTGAGGGGAAAAGGGAGACAAAAGAGGGTAGGGGGCGGAGGTTTGCAACCATGGCGGGATGGATACCTGGGAAACAAATAAATTGAATAAACCTTTCAACAAAACCCAGTGCACACTCATTCATGTAGGAGACAGGAAGAGAGATGAGAGGGTAAGAATACAGATGAGCACTAAATGGCAGGAGTGAAGGGAAGGGGGAGAGAGACAGGCAGCAGCACACACAGATGGGTAAAGTGAGGACAGAACACATCCTCAGTGGATAGCGGTGGGGAGACAGGCAGAAAAGAGGGAGAGGAACAATGGTAAAATAGGTTAGACGGTGGTTTAAGTGCAGTGGACCGAGAGGAGAGGATGAAGTAGACAGCCTACAGCTGGGGTGTCGAACATGAGGCCCGGTGGCCAGAATGGGCCTTTCAAAAACTCCAGTTTGGCCCATACAATGGCTTCGGAAAAAATGTATGAGGACATAAATTTCGGTTATTGAACTGCTTTTTAGTTTTACAGCCTTTGCTACATTTGTACAACACCAGTAAAAAAGTAATAGAAAAAACAATTAAATGACAGAAAAGCTCTTGTTTTATTTTAGTGAGACAAATCGTGCTGTGAATTAGCAAAACTCTTCTGTGTTACAATTCCAACACAGTCAGGGCAACAAGCTACCAAACCTTTTTTTTATTGCAATTTTATACATTTATTTCTTGCTTTAGCCCAAAGTGTCAGCAGCATTGCTTCATCATGAAGAGAAACAGACAGTTTTTATATGAAGATGTCTCCAGGGTTTCTTTTACACTGACAGAAATGGGACTTTCACTGGTCAAAGTGGACTGTTTGTGGCTCAAAATGTAAAATGTGTTGGACATCAAGCAGAGGGTTGAACCAGGAAGATTACCGGTAATGTTTTTTTTATTTTATTCACTGAAATTTTTTATGATGACGTGCATGTACTTAGCCCTTTATCACCCAAGTATCATACAGGACCCTGGACTTATTTTGTAATTTTGGCTGTAAAATGTCAAAATAATTGTTATCGTTCAGGAATCCTTTGAATTTTCTCTCTAGCCTAAAGTGGTTGAGGAGTTATGCTAATGAAGGAAGAGCTGTGTTCAGAAAGCAGTACCTTATGACAGCTCTGTGCTGCCATGATACACCAAATATCTTCTATTCTTTCCAAAAGTATTTTCCTTTTGTCTCTAGCACAAATAGTAACTGTCACACCCAGCAGGATCAGTGTCCAGCTGATCTGAGGTTTTTTCTATCTTTCTCTCCAACTTCCACTCTCTCTCTCTCCTCTTCTCATTGTGGGTTCACGCCCTCGGTGGGAGGAAACAACTGAGCCTAATCAGGGCGGTCAGCATTTAAGCCAGGAGGTGACTGCTGTTCTTCGCTGGATCGTTGTCTGCCACGCGTTAGTGAAAGTCAAGTCTACAGCAAAGCTAAGTCAAATGTTTAAAAGTGAACGGTGTAACTATTCCTCGTCTCCCCATCTCTCCTCCTGGATTCCCTCCCCGTGTGATTCTTTGTGTCGAGTGTGGATGAGTGAACCTGTGGCTGTGAGTGTGGAGAGTTGGAGAACACGTGACTACCCCCTTGGATTTCCCCAGAGCCCCATCGCTCACTTCATTGTATATAGCACTGCCCTGCACTTCCTGTAAATACACAAGGTGGATTCTGTAAATAAATTATTGTGTACAGCTGATTCTGGAGTCCTGCGCTTGAGTTCTCCCCGTCAAACCGTAATAATAACAAAGTTGGGGTCATTTAAAGAGTGCTTATAAAATGACTAATGGTTTAAAAAAAAAGATTTGGTTAATTTGATAGAAAATAGAAAGTAAGGAAGGGAGGGAAGAATAAAATAGGAAACGTGAGGATAGAAATGTAAGAGAAGGTATTTCTCACCACTTTCATCCAGCATCAAGTCATCTTGATAGCGGAACTTCTCTGGTCCACAAGCCACGAAGATGTCCTCGTCACCAAAGAAGTCCTGCAGGCATGACACCTGAAAAGATGGAAGAGTTCAGTTTTTGTAAGGTTGGATAAATGCTCAACGTTTTATTCAGGAAAATGAGATTTTCTGACAACAGCAATTTGCTAACATGTTGGCAAATTTAGTCACATAGTCTACTTTAGTCACTTGTAAGCTGCTGATAGTGTTTGTATGTATACATTGCAAACTGCGAGAGCCACTCACATACTCTGCATTGTGCATGCTCACAACACTGGCTTCCTCTGCCTGTGCTCGGGTGAAAGGGCACATTCACTGAGCCCGAGGACTGTGAAGAACACCAGAGGTGTGTGCGTGCTGCTTTTGTTTGGTTCATTTTGTGTGCTCGCCAAACCTCTTTATAGACAGTCCATGTTCCCGACAAGTCCCCAAGCAGCAGCGCTGTGCTGCTTCTGCACCTAATCAGTCTATCAGTAACTATAATCGGACCTTGCTGAATCACTAATTTGTTGATGCACCGTAGCTCATGCACCGGACATCCAGAGACGCAAGTGGGGTTAAATGAAGGCCAGTATCTTATAAATGGTGGTGAATAACAAAGAGAAGGATGGATGAGGTAGACGGACCTACGGATAAAAGGACTCTGAAGGCGTCGCTGTCATTATTTGATGAGCTCCCTAATGTGCAGTTAAAACCAAAGCCACAGATTTGGTTAACACCACAGTTAGTGATGGATTATTTTTTTAAGGCTGTCTACAGATGGATACCATTTCATTAAGACACGCCTAATAAACACATTGTTCACAAATCTTCAGCTGCAGCACAAGACAGGTGTTATGTGCCTTTTTAATTTGTAAGATCACTGGTTCTCTACCAGGAACAAACCTCAGCAATGGGCTGTTTATGATGACAAACAGGATGAAAAGCACACCACCGTTCATTTTTTTCCTATTTGATTTAGTCAACAGCTAATTCCATATCTGATCTAAACGCTCAAATAACTTTAATTACACCCCAAAGGCCAACCATCACACTTCAATTCCAAGACATCAATATTCCAAATGATATTTCTCCACTGGAAACGGTACAGTCAGAAAAGGATTTACTGGAAGACAATAGTTCATTCATCTAGTATGACAAATCTCCTACCAAAAACCTATTAGGAGCTATTATAGTTTAGGCTGCATGCAAGTGTAACACCGCCTGAAGTTAGCACACAAACACAAAGCTTCAGTTATTGCATTTTCATGGCAATTAGCATCCAAGAATCCATTTAGATTCCCATTAGCCACCAATCAGTGCCCCAAAAGAAAGTCACAAATGATGTAACAGCATTATCAGCAAAATGCCAAATAAACAGCAAAGAGACCATTCTGTGTGTGCGTCTGTGTGTGTCAAGAAGGGAGTTGTCCTGCTTTACCCCCCGTAGACCCACAGATGAGCCAGCAGGGAGATAGAAAACAAGTTTAATCTCAGACACAGGCTCTCTGTGGAGTATGGATCACTTTCATTTAACTTTTTAAATGAATGCTTGTGTGTGTCTGCGTATGTGTGCGTGTGTCTGCGAATGTGTGTCTGCGTATGTGTGCGTGTGTGTGTGTCTGCGTGTGGAAATGATATTACTCCAGTTTCATAACAGAGTGCATATTGCTTTGTTCCCTGATGTCTCCTGATAGCGCTGGTGATTATTTCAGGGGCGAGCGGCTCAACTTCCTAACAAGATGGCGTGATACAGATGCCGGAAACATTTCCCAAGTGCGTCAGTGCTGACGACTTGGCCACTTCTCTAAAGGTAACGTTTTTTAATTCGAGTATTTTTCACATTTTTTTCGAAGTGATATCAGATTTTGTGCTTACAGTACACTGAACACAACTTCTACTTTGAAAGCACAGCGATTACTGAAAAGTTTGTCACTGATAATGTTATTGGCTGCTTCAGGCTCAGGCAAACTTTGGTCTCACATACACTCGTGTTTAGTTGCAGCAAGCTGAATCTGTCACCTGTGATGCTCCAATGAACGCATCTCTCTTTGTCTTTACACAGCCTACGTTACATCAGTCACTCTCTAATGACGCATGCTGCTTGGTCAATTAATTAATGAGCTGACTGAAAGAAAATGAATTGCCAATTGTTTAGATAATCAAACACAATTGTGACCTTGTTTTTGAGAGAGAGATGAGAGATGTTGAGCTTCTGAGTCCTGATGATATCTTTGCAATTTGAACTACTGATCTGACAGGGTGAAACAAATGTCAAAGATGCTTTGCTATAAGCTGAAGCAACTGGATGTAATGGCTTTCTTGTCATAATCAAGGACAGGCGAGGTGGTGAGAGTGCTCACTTTCCTGGGAACCCTTCAGTAGGTGTGTCAAGGTTACCTGAGTGGTGAAGACAAGGTTAGGGTTTACCTGCAAGCTCTCATTAATCATAGCCATCTTGAGCCGCTCTCAGCTGCTGTGGCAGTGTCCCCTATCAGCTGTATGGGCTCAGTGGTTAACTTCTTGCAGCATGTGTGGTCGCAGCAAGCACTCTGACCACTGATGTCTGCAGGAAACCACAGGAGCCAGTATCCCAAGTCAGCTGAGAGAAATAACCTCTCCAGAGTATCCTGGGTCTGCTCTGCATCCCCCTCCCAGCAGAACATGCCTGAAACATCTCATCTAGGAGGTGAAAAGGAGGTCCCCTAGCCAGATGCCCAAAGCACCTCATCTAACTCCAAGAGGCCAGCCAGGCACAGCCCAAAAAGCACGACATGGACTTGCCATCCTATGGGCTCACCATATGCTATATTGTGTATTTCTCATTTACGTCCCTAAAAACAAGAAAAAAGTGCAACCACACAGATTTTGTCTCCAGGTGTATAACAGACAGCATAACATAAACCAACACATGTGGCTCTCTCCTTTTTGCAAAAACTGCCAAACTGTCCTCGCCCTCTACCTTTTGCCCTCTTGTACTGCATGCAATTATAGTAATTATCATGCTAAGTCTCAGCACCTTTGCACTTTTTTTAACACAGAAAAATTACTTTAAACAAATATTTCTTTTGATGATTTTAGTTTAATACAGCCTTGCATTTGCACAACTGTTTATTAATCAATATGAACCAGTATATTTTTGTGTGTTCATCCATACCAGAGACTGTAGAAATGACTCTTATATATGCATTTTATGCACAAATCTATGATCTCTAAAAAAGTTTCTTTATTAGAGCTATTCTAACAATGTTTATGTTGTATACACTATATAAAAGAAAATGAGCCAACAATGCTCTCTGATTTGAGGAGCTACAACTGCAAAATGTTGAGTGCAAATATTGATCCACTAGTTGTTTCATCTCTAATGGAAAGATTTTTCTTTTGACGTCTAAGACTCTTCGTTTGAGCCTCATCGATTTAAAACTTGGGCTCTTTTGAAATCTGTGATCTTTATTGGCATGACGCACATCCTGTTGTTCCAATCAATTTGTGCAGGACTGGAGCAGAGGGCTCTATATATCTGTATACATCTGCTGCTCTGAAGCAGTTAGATTGATTCCTTAAGCCAGGACTGCTGCTATTTAACAAAGACCCTTGTTTGAAATTAGGATATTTGAAGCATATCAACCTGAGAACAACAAAAATACTGGGCAAACACGGAGGGGAAAAAGCAGAGTGTAATAAGATAAATAAGCGAAAGAATGAGGATTCAGGGATGATAAGGACGGGAAGATAAGGACGAGTTTCATCTGGGGCAGCTAATGAGCAACACACAAACACAAACTGTCTACTGAGACTGGTGAGTAAAAGTATAGCTGCCATGGTGATGATGCCCTTAAGCACTGTTGCATTCCACTGACTGCAACAATGCGTACATGGTGATAAGAGAGCTCCATTATTAATATTTTACCTACTATGAGTATGATTTGCTCATAGTATGATATGATCTGCTTCATTCACACAAATGCAGAAACACCCCCTCGTGGCACATGACCTGGTTAATGGTGAAAAAAAGATGTTGCGAGAGGAAGAAGCGCTTCTCTGAAACACTCAGGAAGATGGATCAACTGATGATGAAGAGATGAGTGAGCTGGTAAAGGTGAAGAGAACAAAAGGAAAAGAAAACAATCAAAAAGAAAATCAGAGAGAGATTAAACCAAATCATCAAATCCCCTGAGTTAGAGAGGAAGCAAACATGGGGGGGGAGAAGATCTATTCCTGACTGCTGCTCCGAGCCCTTATCCGAGCCCAATGACAAAACAAGCCACTTTGATGTTTCTGATGCTCCCTTCTCCCAGAGAACCAGCACAGTTACACAACATCTACTGCTGCTATAAACAAGGCCGGGGTGAGAGAAACGGAGCACCGGAGGAAAAGACTCATCTAAATCTAATCTAGTCTAAAACAGTGAGAGGAGAGCAGAGGAATGTGGAGATTTCATTCATCCCATCAGCTCAGCACCAGTAAGGAAAAAAATGTCAGCTTATTCTTTGCTGGGCCTTATGGGCCTGACCCTGAACTTCTTCCTTTACTGTCCACTGCTATCACGCTTAACAGGCCAGTTTAATAGGTATCACTGTGTTTTATATAACAATGGGAGGGAAGTTTTGTTTATTTTCCACAATGGAAAAAAAACAGTTAGAGAAATCCTTGCAGAATAAGCCTCCAGCTCCCGATCATCGTGCATAAAACAACCAACAGTCCATTATGAAGCTGTTTTATGTCGCCACTGCGCCATCTAGTGTAGAATCACCTAACTCCATGACGTGTCTGTTCCTCGCTCTTTCTTCTATTTGCTTTTCATTTTGTCTTTCAGCACAAATACAAATCATATTTGGGGAAACCTGCAGGTTTTGGTCTTACACGGTGTCGCAGCTAATGCAATGTCCAGAACATCACAGCAAAGGTGGATGAGAAACTGACGCAGGGAAATAACTGCCACCACACGGTGGCGCTGTTTAATAATCACAGGAAGAGGACACAGCCAGTACAAAATCCCATAAATGAAAAAAGAAATTGACTCAATTTACCTTGAATCAAGAGAACTGAAGCACATAAATGTAATGACAAAAGAA